GAAGTAATCGAAGCTGTAAATGGTTATTTTGAGGAGCTTGACGAATCAGTCTATAGAGATGGCATTAATAGACTGGAACACCGCTATGAGAAATGTATCAGCCTTGGAGGAGATTATGTTGAGAAATAAAAAAAAAAAATTTTTAGAAACCTTGTTTTTCTTGGTCAGGCCGGAAACTTATCAATCCACCCTCGTATATATTATTACATAAGAAACAGAACGGCAATCACAATTATTGTATAAAGTTGTTTTAAACTTTATTGTTTCAATTAGACTTGCCTCAGCTACTGAATACTTACGAACACGCGCGGACGGTGTAATTTTGAATAGGCTTATAAAAAAAACATATAAAATAAGATAAAAAATGCGTAAGGAGATAACGATCATCCTCGATTTTCAAAGAGGCGAGTGAGTCACCGGATAACAATTAAATAAGAATTTTATTGCAGTGCCATCGTAATAATGCACCGCACATGTTGGCAAAACTTTCATCGTTGCATAATGGCGATATTACGGTGAGTGTACAGTACGAGGGAGCAGGCAAACAAAAATGAAAACATAATCTCCTTTTATGGGAAGAAAAAGTTACCACGTCCTTTGTCTCACGTTGCGAAGACGATTGCGTAAAACTTAATCTTTATTTAGCTAATAAATTTTTAGCTGAGACATTTATTAATTTCAACGGGATAAAAAGAGCAAGGTGCGAGTGAGAAAGAAACGTATGCGTGGGACGCCACGTCGTTCTCGTGCAGTACTTGCATGTGCAATTGCCGAGTTAAAGGAATGAGGCAGCAGGAGGTTTGAAAACTTGCTGACTAACGTTGATACATCGTTTATGAACTAGCGATTTTTTACCTTTTACTTGATATGTACAAATAGGCTCCACGTTTTAACACTGACAACGAGCCTTATTTTGCTCAACATGCTAAATTTTTCATTTTCTACGTACCCACGACTAGACAGATAAAAAAGAACTCGGAATACGTTCTCATTATGAGTTAAATTAAAAATATTCAGCTCAAGCATGTTACAGAGTGTTTCAATTTACATAGCGGGAAATTAGTGACTAAGAATCTGTTCTCTGTTCAAATGCTAATACAATATCAATAATTTATACGATACTACCAGATCTAGATCGTGATTATAGATGCCTATAGCGTGCTGATGAGAAGAAATAGGTTCGAAATAGCAATCCACGTCTAGTAAGTAGTTTAAAACAAAAGCGTTTCAATATTAGATACGTATAAATTATAAAAATTTGAGATAAAAATGATCCAGCACTATTGTGATAGTAGATTATATCAAAAGGATTTATTCCTCTTGCAGGAGAAGAAAAGATTAATTCAACACATATTGTCCTACTACTTCATAACATATTTTATAGCATTTGGACGAAGAGGACGATTTATTTTAAACAGATATGAAGTCTTAAAAATAAAAAAGCAATTGCAGAAAATAAAGTCTTTTAACCAACGATCAATTACCACTTGGTAATATCCCCATCCTTGATCCTATTTTGGTATACATGGGATTAACGTTAGTTATATAAGTATAGGAAAACAAAAGTATTCTCTGTTCTAAATTTTTATCATAAATTAATCAACATGTTTTATCATGAGTTAATGTTTAATTCATCATTTTTAAATATGTTCCAGGGTTTAATTGGTCCAACTTATTCTACTTCTACTTTTTACTGAAAAACTTCTGTTTTATAAGGTTGCCACTTTCAGATATAAATTTTAAAGTTTTGCAACCATTTTGTACATCCAGAGAATAAAGTTCATTACAGAAAATTATTAATTTCTGCATGTTAATAAAACGATTAAGGAACAATAATCCTTTAAGGCAGAAAGGCATCACCCGGCTGTCTAGGTTGAAAATATTTTCGATTACTTATAGGTAGAATTAATTGAGTAGAAGACATGCATGGATGATACTTTAAGGAAGTTTCTTATCAATTTGTCAATGTCCACATGTGGTGCACATTGTTACGGGAATTTCCAACAATCCTCGGACATGTTATG